GACATTTTCCTAAATTAGGGTTCTGGCAATTATCGGGTAAAGGGGTGGCGATTTGGGAGTGCAGAGCCGGTTTATATGCTACGAAATAGGTGAGGAGGAAAGAGAGTGAGGTAGGGGAAGTGATTCAGCATCCATATCAGCACCCACGTCGGATGGTAACCGGCATTTGACCTAGAAACGGGCTAATGGCTCATTAGTGAAAGGATTGTGTAAGTTGGGGGATTTTTGTGAAAGGATTTGAAGTTCAGGTACTACTTCGAAATTATAGCTAAAGTTCAGGTACCATTGGTGAAATTTACCCGTCTAGTGACGTGTTCTGATATTGGTTAAGCAGATAACACAAAAATAATGATTATGATTATGGGCTAGGATTCTGACGAAAGACCACATTTGTAGATTATGATTATAGTAGAAAGCGACTATAATTCACAAACGACGCAAACGGAATAGCCTTTGGAATTGTGTATGACAAAAAAGATATATTATCATTGTGAATTTACATTTTTAGCCCTCAAATTAACACCAACATGATTGAAGATAAAAAAAAACTATTTGTGGAAAGATACCCATAGTAGAAGGACCATTGAGATAATATTTGATAATAGAAGACTAAATAGGGAACCCTCCTGTTATTAAAGACCAATTATGGAATTTACTCTAAAATAATCAATGAAAATACATAAATAAATAAACAAAAATTCCTATAATTTTTTAGTAATAAAGTGTGAAGATCTGATTTTTTTTGGACGGAGTGAGTACTTCCTCCGCGTCTATAGTTTGTATTTTACTCAAATTATGTTCACTTTTATTTATATCAAAGTTGGTTTGGAATTTAAAAATATCTTACTACAAGGTATATTTTTAAAATATTGCTTCAAAGCTTTTATACAATAAGAGATTACGTGATTATTTTATCTTATTAAATGAGTAAACAAATAGGTAAAGAAACTAGATTAAGTTTCATCTTGTAATTAGTGAGAAGTTTATTTTAGGACAAAGGTAGTAGTTTGTACTTAACTTCTCCTTAGAATTTATAATGTTTAATTGAACCTTTTTTCTTAAATTTATTCAATGATTATTGTTGGTTTAAAAATAAAATTTATACCATTCAAAAAAATTACATACTTCGCCTAATGTTTTTTGTAAGATTCGATCGAAAGTATTTTTCAATTCATTTTATTTGAAAATTGATATTGAATTTTTTAAGAAAACATATATTTGGGAATTATACCAAAATTTCTATGAGGCTACAGGTGACATGGGTCACATGACTGTACTCTTTTATCAAATGACTAGAAAAGTGGTTAGATATAATGATTAGAGGTTGACCATATAGCACATAGTAACACCTAAAATTGAAGAAAAAAATTGTACCAAAAACGGCATGGTAACAACCCTAAAAATACACATACTACCTTCGTCGCTGAATATTTATCCAGTTTTATCTTTTTTCGGTCAAATATTTTCAACCTTTGACACAAAATTAAATAAAATATATATTATATATTAATTAGATAAAATAATATTTTTAAAATATTTGATATAATAAATCTAATTAAAACTTTTTTCTGTATCAATATCTAATATCTTTTTTATTTAATTTGAGGTCAAAGTTTACCAATTTTGACCGAAAAAAGTCAAAAAGTAGACAAATATTAATGAGGGGAGGGAGTATATCATTTTAGTTGGCAAAAGATAAGAGAAAAACGCACCAAGGATAAGGAAAAAAGTAATAAACGAGTCCTAGAATCTAAATGCCCCTCCAAAAGTTTACATTGCCCCCCAATGCAAGTTTCCAAACCTCAATCTCATAACTAGGCGAGGACAATCTATTACAAGCAACTTAACATCACACTCCTCACAATCTTTTTCAAGGTATAGGTCAAACAAACACAATTTAGTACTACTCGGTATGCATTACAAACCATTATCAATGAAAATATACAAACAAAAGTTATCGAAATACCATATTAGTGATCGTGACATTCATTTAGAAATGGAGGGAGTAAAAGACAGGGAATAAATTAAAATTATAACAAGTGCCTAGTTTATAGTCTTGGCTAGTGGGTTCCTTAATATTTATCCTTGGTGCACAAGCTAATAAATAGTTGTTGGAAGCAAGGTGAAAGATAAAGTACAGAAGTAAAAGAAATTCCAAAAGTGTTAGGAATACACCAAAAAGTGTATCCTGAGTTTAGGGTACAAACAAAATGTTGAGGCTTGAAGTTTGCATTTGACAAAAAAGAAAAACATACTTAATAAAAGAGTAAATTCTATAAGTAGTCTCTAATTATAAATGACTTTTCATATTTGTTTCTCAGGTCTAAGATATTTTATAAATAGTTCTCAATTTTTTAAAAATTTTTCCATATTCGTTCCTTCAGGGACTAAATGTGAAACAAACTAGTTTCATATTTGACCTAAGAGAATATTTATAGGATAATTTTTAAAAAATAAAGATCATTTACATTTTTTTAGAACTAAGGACTAAGCATGAAAGACTACCTATAATTAGAGATTATTTATGAAATTTATTCTTAATAAAATATTTAACAATTGAACCGTGCTTGAACAAGGCTTGCCCAAGAATAGCCCGCCTGGACCTATACATTTGAAGATATATGACTTCCTCCGAAAATGAAGGTCACATTTTACTTTTTTTAGTTAAATTATAACACATTTTGAGTACACATTGTGAACAAGTATATTTAGTTACATCACTCTATTCTTAAAAGCAGGGGAATTTTGCACCATTATTTTTCCCGCCCATGGATGGTCATCTAAGGAACGTTGATTTAGATCTACTTGGATTAATCTACGCTTATTATCCATCCGTGTGTATTGGTTGATGTAAAAAAGGGAATACCATGTTATTCGTGTGCCTTTAATGACTGAATTTAATATCCTGTGAATTACCAGAGTAAAAAAAGGCAATAACGGGTGCATTTTAGAGGTGTTATTTCAAAGACCAAATTTAATACCATGCATTCATTCCTCTTTGAAATAAGGAAAACCGAAGTTAAAAAAAGGCAAAAACGTGAGCATTTTAGAGGTGTTATTTCAAAGACCAAATTTAATACCGGAAAATGATAGAGTCACAAACATATAGTTCACAAACTTCACAAACTTGTCTTACGAAAATAATCGTAAGAATTGTATGTTACAAACGTAAGAATTGCATGCTATATTATTCCAACGTAAGAATTGCATGCTATATTATTATTGGATGCGAAACGTAAGAATTGCATGCTATATTATTATAATCGTAAGAATACAATTCTTACGATTATTTTCGTATATTGTTGATATACGAAAATCTAAAAAACGTAAGAATTGCATGCTATATTATTATATATGTACTATTAAAAAACGAAATAAATACAAAATGGTAAGAATTAAAAAGGAAACAAGAAGCAAAGGTTGCGTTTTATTTTTTTTATACTAATTCCATATTTGCGTTATTTTTTTTATTTTTTAAATTTCTAAATATGAAAATAATTTAATTTAATTTTAATACTGAAATAATAAAAAATATTAATGGTAATTGTTAGAGTTTTGTAAAATGATCAGATAAAAATATAATATATTACATTTTTAAATTAATACTAATTATTATTAAATATAAAAACTATCGTAATATATCTATTGAAAATCTAATAATATTACATTTTAAAGTTTGTATATATAATATTACATTACTATTTATAAAAAAAGAAACTACTTATTATCAAATATAAAAACTATTGTAACAAAGGAAATAAAAACTGGATATAAAATTTGTGAATAAAAGTAATAAAGTAATCAAAGTAGGAAATATATTAAAAAAATTGTAAGAATTAAAAAAAGGAAATCAAAAGCAAAGGTTTTGTTATATCGTCGTTTTCCTTTTTTAATTTCATATTTGTGTTATACTGATTTGTTTTTTAATTCCCAAATATGGAAATACTTAAATATGAAATACTGGAATAATAAAAAACATTAATGGTAACGTGTTAAAAGTTTTGTTACATTTCTGATAAAAATTCTCTGTAATATATTACATTCAAAAATACGTGTATATAATATTACATTACTATATATAAAAAATAATATCGATCATTATTGAATATAAAAATTGTTGCAAATAAGGAAATAAAAGACAAAATACAAAATTTGTGAATAAAATTAATAAAGCAATGAAAGTAGAAAATAATTTAAAAAAGGTAAGAATTAAAAAAAGGAAAGTCTGTTAAAAAATCTAATATATTGCATCTGAAAGTCTGTTATATAATACGGATATGGAGTACTACATCACTATATATATAAGAAAAATAATATTGCTATAAATAAGGAAACAAAAAGCCAGATATAGAATAAGACTACATTACTACATTGTATACAATAAAATAATACTGATTAGCATTCTATATAAAGAGTTTTGAAGAGTTTTGTTCTTTTATTTACATATTTACAAATAAAATAATAGATTAATGGAAGAAGGAAATAATTGTAGAAAAATGGTAAAAATTAAAAAAGGGAATCGCAAAGAATAAATTAAGTGAGATATTAGAAGGTGTATTGTTACGTTTTAAGAAGAATGACCTGAAGATTCTTATTTACGACTCAGAAAATATTTTCACAAGATGTACCACTAATATAGTTAATAAAGAAGATTTTCAAAATTTGTAATTTATATGATATTCATGCTTTACAATAATAAAAAACATTATATCTCATTATATGGTGCATTTCATTTCTTATGCAATGACATCAATATAAGTTTATAATTTAAATATGAGCCGTGCAACGCACGGGTGTGATACTAGTATTATTTAAATTTAATATAATTGAGCTCATTTTAAGATGTAGCTTTGATATATCAAATTTTTATAAAATTTATGTACTTAATTATATATTTAATTTGTAATAAAAAAGTGTCGAAATTTGACTTAAAAATCAAACTGTGACATTCATTCCATTCATTTCCGGACGAATGAAATATGAAGTACTTCCTCAGACCCACCGGGTCAAACTTCATTAACTTTCTTTCTCTTTTCGTTAGCAATTTGATAAAATAAAGTATAATTATCACTACTAGTTTTTTATATCTTTTGATGTAGTATTTTAATATGTAATTTTTAATTTTTAACGCTACACCATTTGTCATTTAAAATGATTTGAAAATAATTTCAATCAAACATCGTAAACCACAACAGACATTATAAATTGGGACGGAGAGAGTAAAATATTCTATATGCATATGAAAGATGTGAATATATTACAAGGGCTAAGCTAGAACTACACTTTTTACCTTAGCTCAAAATTTTCTCTGTTTTCTA